CTGATTATTTTCTGAGTTATACTGTCCAGATTATTAATCTGGAGCAGTAATTTGAATCCCATTCCAGGTGGATCTTTCAGAATTTCCTAAATTAACTAAGTTATTTAAGAAATTAAAGTATTAATTATTGATGATCACTATTTATTTCCTATATAATATATTTATTTTTAAATTATAGCTCGAATTCTATAGTCTATTTTTGTTCTAATTAAAGGAATTTGTAAACAAATTTTAATTGTAAATTTATATTAAAAATGTTTATGTATACATAAGGTTTTTTTATGTGTAATCCTACATAGAAATAACTTATATACGATTACACTTAATATCTTAATCCTATATTATATTATATTAAACTTTAATTAATTTTATATACGGCTGCATTCACAAATTTTATGTACTTAAATACATAAAAGTTATATTAAAGATTTATAATTAAATTGAACAATTTACTTAAAATTAAAATATATGTATAGGCTATATATAAATAAATTTACAAAATTTTATTCAATATTAATAAAATAATTTAATATTCTAGAAAATGTATATTTATTAAATTTATTATTAAAAATTTTTAAAGTATAATAATAATCGTTTTACCTAACAATACTTATATTTTAACAATATACAGCATATATTTACGTACATAAATAGGTCTAAAATAAATGCAAATAGTATAAATATACCTCCGTGTACCTTTAAATTGGAAATTTATAGCATGATAAATACTTTAAAGAGTACAGTTTTACAATTTACGGTAATCTAAAAATGTAAAATTTAGTTATAAAAACAGGAACAAAAGTTAAAATTTATGATTTCTTCCCATTGCGGTATATTAAAGTCATGCTAATATTATCGTGATTTACTGTTTATTCAAATAAAAGAAAGATGTATATAAATCTAAAAAAAGTCCTTAATCGGTGTCTGTCTCGTAAAAATAAAAATTTATGGCACTAGCAAATTTTTTTTTCTCCCTTCTTCTTCTTTTTTCCTACCCCCCCCGTCCTTAGAAGTTGGAATGTAGTTTGTTTCTGAAAACCATAAATCTGTAATCATTGCCCGAAGATACCCCAAACATATTACGTGCATATTGAATATAAACGTGATTCGGTAAGTTTGATGTTTATCTAACACTTACAGATCCAAATCTGTAAGGAGAATTATTTCCTTGAATTCAGTTTGGCAGTAAAGTCTAGTATAACTATAGTGACAGATGGCAAGTCATAGTTGATTGAAAGACATCATATGAGTAAACTACATTTTCAATATTGAATTGTACAGAAAAATAGGCATTGAAGAAGAAGAAGAAGACGGAAAAAATCTTTATTTTCTATGTTATATACAAGATTTTGTATTTTATACGTATTGTCAAAAGTTATTCCAAACAGCTGAAATTTTGAAAGGTTTTAGAGCCTTTCAAAATTTCACGAATGATGGAATTTGTAGCATGTACACACCAAGCTGTAAAATGTGATTAAAGGATCATATGGCATCGTGAGTTTAGAATAATTTTAATAGGGATTTGAATTATTTTATGAGTTTAATACTAGTAAGAAAGACGCAATGTTGCAATTCTGGAATTAATCCCAAGTCAACATCTACTTATAGTTAGAGCTAGGAAAGGCATCGATCATCTTCGACGATTGTCAACTTGAATGGAAGCAAGAAAAGTTTGGAAATAAATTGATACGTGCTTCACTCTTCAATCAATGTCTTAATATAGTACCTAAACAAGTAGGATGTTTTAGAAGCCAATAAAAACTTTTAAAAGGGGGAAAAAGTCTTAAAAACTAAATTTAAATTGATTATAAAATTTATATTAAAAATATTTATTTATTTATTAAAAGTTTTGTTCAAATTAACTTAATTTTTTAAAGAAAATAATTCAGTTTCTTTTACATTAATTTCATTAAGTTTGCGATTAAATCTTACTGTATTATTTAAGTACAGAAAATGAATAATGTAAATTAATAAAATTATATAAGGATACATTTCAAATCTAATTTTTACGAAAAGAAAAATTAAATTATTATTTCTATATTTTATTAAATGAGAAATGAGATTAGCAAAAGATAATTTTCAGTCTACCACAAAATTAATTTTTATTAATATAACTTTTTAATATATATATATTTATAGAAAAAATGCAGGGAACTAATTTCTTTTAAACTAAAAATTTATTGCATACAATGTTTTTATTTTCTCAAATCGTATTTATAAAAATGCACACGTGATAAATTTAAATCAATTCTTAATAAAGTACTTTAAAGAGTTAGACATTTTTCTACTCTAAAACAAAACTAGAGTAAANTAAAGAGTACAGTTTTACAATTTACGGTAATCTAAAAATGTAAAATTTAGTTATAAAAACAGGAACAAAAGTTAAAATTTATGATTTCTTCCCATTGCGGTATATTAAAGTCATGCTAATATTATCGTGATTTACTGTTTATTCAAATAAAAGAAAGATGTATATAAATCTAAAAAAAGTCCTTAATCGGTGTCTGTCTCGTAAAAATAAAAATTTATGGCACTAGCAAATTTTTTTACTCTCTTCTTCTTCTTTTTTCCTACCCCCCGTCCTTCTCTTAAGAAGTGACTTCGATATTTAACTGGCAGACGAAATTATAATTTGCTACAATGAGAAAATATTCCTGAGAGTATTTAACACTCCTTTCTCCCAAAGTACTCATTAGCAGCAACAAGGAGTGTGTTACCTAATGCAGGATCCATTTAGCAAAGTAATTCAAATAAATTTTATGACTTTGTTGTGGGTCAATCTTACTGTATTATTTAAGTACAGAAAATGAATAATGTAAATTAATAAAGTTATATAAGGATACATTTCAAATCTAATTTTTACGAAAAGAAAAATTAAATTATTATTTCTATATTTTATTAAATGAGAAATGAGATTAGCAAAAGATAATTTTCAGTCTACCACAAAATTAATTTTTATTAATATAACTTTTTAATATATATATATATTTATAGAAAAAATGCAGGGAACTAATTTCTTTTAAACTAAAAATTTATTGCATACAATGTTTTTATTTTCTCAAATCGTATTTATAAAAATGCACACGTGATAAATTTAAATCAATTCTTAATAAAGTACTTTAAAGAGTTAGACATTTTTCTACTCTAAAACAAAACTAGAGTAAATTTTTCGTGTTCCCCCCTCCCTGTACAAATGAAAGTTTTAGAAAATTCACCTTCAATTTCCGACAAGTAAAATAGAATGTGTGCGAAGTTAAAAAAATAAAATAAATAAATAAATAAAAATAGTAACATTTTCTACAGTGAAATACAAGTGCAAAACATACAAACATAGACCAGCTTGATCATCTGGAGAATACACACCAACCTTTTGCATCTGTTTTTTCCTGTGATTTATTCAAAGCTGTGCTTCGTGGTACTTGTTTATTTTAAACTCTTGGGATTTTTGTTGTGAACTTGCCAATAGAAAATACAACCAATTGCTAAAAAGACGCAGATAAATATCAAACTCTTATTTTTTTTCCTGTATTTTTTTTTTCTTTGACGATAAATGCAGAACACTACCTTAAAGATCGGACAGTCGTGACTTCTCTGCAAATTCGATAAACTAGCAAACACGTTTCTCTAATTCTAACGGTCACGTACAATAAATAAATAAAACTTAGGACCAATCGAGAGATAGAGGAAACAGTAGATTAGTCAAGAGTTAGAGAAGAGAATATATAAAAGTAAAAAAAAA